TCCTCATTGGCTCAATTACAGCAGCAGGAGCCATTGGCTCCTGCTGCTGTCAATCACAGCCAGTGAGAAGGGAGTGGGAGATGGGGCTGAGGCCCGTTCTGTGTTTCTTATGGACACACAGAGCGGTGCTCGGGAGTGAGCATGCACAAGTGCGCTCAGAGCAAGTGGCTTGCTCTGGGGGCACTCAAAGGAGGGAGGAGCCAAGAGCGCCAGCGGGGGGGATCCGAGAAGAGGAGGATTAAGGCTTTTCTGTGCAAAACCATTGCGCACAGCAGGTAAGTATAGCATGATTGTTGTTTTTTTATCTTACATTTTTACCTTTAATATCACTTTAAGTATGGTTAAATTTAAAGTGAAATTCCAGTCAAATCTTAAGATCAGCTTTATACACCAGACTGTGACAAGAACGTGCTCTGTGCCATATACCTGCAACTGTAATTCATTTTATACAAGTCAACAAAGTACAGCGAAGAGAAAAAAGGAATGATCTGTAAAAGTGGTGCTCAGGGATTTGCAAATTTTCAGTATTAAGGCTTTCTGCTGTCTGGGCTGTTGAGATGTTCCTGGGCATAATACATGCTGCTGAATAACATCTAAAATAGTTTATACAGTATTTGTGGGCAATCATTGCAATATGGGGTGTCGTAATATACTAGCTATTTCTGGACATACACAATTCTTCATGCCAGTGACCATGGCAGCACAGTATATGTACTTTTTTTCAATTCCAGACAAGTGCAAGCTTTCAATGAGCTACAAATACAATCCAGCATATGCAACAACTGTGCTAAAGGTAAAAAGTTCACTAAGTTTACTTTAATTTGATTTATGTGCAATTCTCTTTAGAATAAGTACACACCACTCCAAAATTGATCATTAGGAGAGCAATAAGATGCTGTATAATGTCTTCTACCTCTTTGCTTCCAACCATACTAAAGCTTCCAAGGCAGGTTTGACTGAATGATGTTGATGAATGTGATAAACATATTAGTCCTCATGCACACTGGACGTTTTTACTGCTGTTTTTGGCTTTTGATGGTTTTTTCTACAGCCAGTAAACCCCCAGCATGTTATCCTGTGTCCATGCACACATAGGCTGTAGTCAACGTTTTTTGGCAGGGGAGTTTTTTGGCTGAAAAAAAAAAACCCCAGAACTAGTGGGTTTGTAGAGTTTTTTAGCTGCAAAAAAGCTCTAATGCTGAAAAACACAGTAAAAAGCGGCTAAACGCTAATGCAAAAATGCTCAAAACACGCGATTTTAACATGACTTTACACAGCTAATACTACCAGCATTATTACAATGCCCAGTGTGCATGGAGCCTTATACTGTACATTTTTTAATACCAGTGTTCCGGGACCACAAACCAGTGTGATGCAGAATCACCAGATTATAGACAAAAGGTAGTCAGACTGATACAGTACAGCATTCTCTAAATAAAATACTACCAATACTTCTATGAGTAGGCAATACTCTCCTTATACACCTCAAAGTATATTTCAAGAGAGTACATTTAAGTGTATGTATATCCTAAACCTTTTTCTTTTAAGTTTTAGATAGATTAGTATTTGATTGAACCTATTTTTGATTTTTTTCAAATTCTTTATTTAAAGGTTTACCTCCGGAATACACAATTTGACCAGAAACAGCATGATTTGTGATAAATTACAAGAAATGTCCTAGTAGACATGCAACTGGGAGGTATGATATGAAAGCACATGTAAAGGTAGACATTATGAAAATCTTCTCTGATCCTCCCTTTCTTCCAGTGTCCCCCTCTTCTCTGATCCCCCCTTCTTCCAGTGTCTCCCTCTTCTCTGACCCTACCCTTCTCACAGTGCCCCCTCTTCTCTGATCCTCCCTTTCTTCCAGTGCCCCCCTCTTCTCTGATCCTCCCCTTCTTCCAGTGTCCCCCTCTTCTCTGATTCTACCCTTCTTCCAGTCTCCCCCCTCTTATCTCCCGATAGGACATATCATGTGGAGACACTCTGCACATGCACAGTTTAGTGTGTATTACTAGAGAGGTTTTTTTTTTCTTGGGAGAGTGCATGTGATCAGCACAGAGCCAATCAGGACTGTCCAGACAGAGGTCAGGGCTTCTGCATTATCCTAGAGCAGAAAGAAAGCTCCTCCTACAAGTTTTAACATGTGCTCTGCTGAACACTGATAGAAGTCACAAGACTGCTCTAACAGTTGATGAGAAAAGGCATTTAGCAGTTTATATTTACTAAAATAATTGCACTTTCATGTTTTGTGTACTGTGAGAGACCAGATATAGTGAATGTAGGGTCCTGGGCAGGGTACTAATGACAATTGCCTGTAACATGAGTCCCAGTATGAGTCAGGCTTTTGTCAAGTTTTAATTCCTGCCAGTATCCTGGATTGGTAGATTCAACCTCCCTGTCACGGCGGCCATTGTTGCCAATGCAGAAATGAATTCAAAACTTTAGAGTTGTCACCAGACCAAGAGGAGAAGGGAATCTTCCAATAGTGACACCTTTGGCGAAGGCATCATTTACTTGAGGCTGCGTGTACTGCATTTGACTTGCAGCTGTGAGGCAATATGTCCCATCCTTACTGCCTGTGTTAACCACTTAAAGCCTGCAGCACTATGCTGCAACTGTGTGCATTACACGTTGTTGCAGAGTGGTTGTGTCACGGTCCCATACACTTGAATGGGTCACATTTGATAGCAGATCCCTCCGCTATACATGACAAGTGTTATAATTCTCACCACGCCACCACTGTGGTGATATATACTAACATAGCCACTGGTCACGGCAACTTGCGTCTTCGCGATCGGTAAAACCATGACTTGCCTGTGCAAACAAGGCTTCAGAGTGGAATTTCCCTAACTTTGTAGTGTTTTACTATCACTTCGTGTTGCTTCGCTGGGATGGGAAATAAAGGAAAATCTCAAACAGGACAGACAGCAAATATAAATTGACAAATGATGTACCCCTTTCCTATTCTATTGAAAACTAAAGAATGTTTCATATATATATATATATATATATATATATATATATACATATATATATATATATATATATATATATATACACACATACACTTCAAGATTCTGACAGATGGTTAGGATGGGGCAACATTGCTGAAAAAGTTTCTCGCTTGGTTAGCATGGATGGGTCCTCATAATTGCCACATTGAGTTTGTTAATCTTGTTCAGTGTACTAATGGACTAACGGGATGAAGCAGATATAACCATCAAAATACTAGAAATAGAAAAAGTTTATAATGTGTTGCCTACATACAATACTTGTATTATTATTATTACAACCTATAACACCAAATATGATCTAATTGCAAAAATTCAATGAAATATTCTAAAGAAAGTTGTAGAGACTGGTAAAATGGCTAATCTGGAGCACATGGTATCTATATTTACAATGACATGAAAAACATGAATGAAAAAAAAACTTTCAAGAAAATAATTAGAACTCTATTTATATAATATTTTGTGTATAGCCGCACCTGCTTTTGTGATAGTAATGCCACAATAAAACTGTACTTCTCAAAGTATTTTCATAGATGTTGGATAAATCAATAGACATGATCTAATAACAAACATCAATAAGCATGCTGAGATGCTGTGATCCCCAACAATCAATCAACGCCCCGTAGTGTACCACAGGCCAGCTCAAAAAGTAAATTCTGATTGGTTGCTCTAGATTAGTACTTCGGTTTTTTCCACCATTGAACTAAATGAAGGACCAACAAGTGCAATGCACTCCAAAAGGGTTATTTATGGTGGAACCTTGTAATTTTGTCCTCTGCTATGCGCTGATTTTCTTTTTTCATTAAAAATAAAAATGCCTACTGTTTCTCTATTTGTAGGTAATGGGTTTGCAGGATGCTATGCAATGATTCTGCAAGATAATTGAAAAGCAAACTGCAGAATGCTGAATATTTATAAGCACTTTCCAGATGAAAAATAATCATACCATTTCCACATTTCTCTCATATTTATTGAATGATACAGCAACCCTGCACAATGAACCATGAGACACCGTTACGAGGTTGTATCTTGTTTTCTGTCATTTTATGATGTCAGATGGTAGAGAGAAGTCGGTGTAAATGGATAGAATTATTAAGGTCCACCCACCTTACACATCTAAAGTGGAACGCTACCTATGTGTAAACGTGACACTAGAAGGCAGAAGAGTGAAATCATCCAAATTACAAAGAAAATCAAATCTCTACATTAGGTCTGGTATCAAACGTCCAAACCTGGCCTTTCATTCTAAAGGCATAAGTCTGTAATTTAAAGTGGTTGTAAACCTCTGATATGAAATATGAACAAAGCATATCCCTCTATAGTGTGTACAGTACTTGTCTCAATTAAAAGCACTAAGTGTAATTTCTGTCTTCTGCTTTGTTCCTCTGCTATCAGCATGAACTACTTCTGACAAGTTTTCCTGACAGCAAAAGAAAAATGGTAACAGAGATGGAACTCCACCAGGTTGCCAGCCTCTGCTCTGTTACTGTGAACTATGTGGAGGGGGGTGTCCCTTCCTTCCAATCAGCTCTCAGATCTCTCCTCACTGACCTCTGCATTGTTTAACTTCAGATTTCAAACCTTTTTTTGACAGCTCTACAAACTTTATAAATTCAGCACTTTCAATGGATGTAGAGGACAGAAAACTGCAGATAGATAAGTCCAACTTATGTAGACTGGTTGCAACCACTTTAACCGCCTCTCGCCCGCTATATAGTCCAATGACGGGTGCAAGGTGGTTCTCTTGCTCTGGGAGGACGTCATATGACGTCCTCCCATTCTCACTAGGCATGCGCGTCTCCGGGAGCACGCAGTGTGGCGATGTAAATAGGGAAATGCCGGTTATCGGCATTTCTCTCCTCACGAGCTGTCACGCTGACAGCTTGAGAGGAGAGCAGAGCCGGTAATCGGCATTCCTCGGAGGGGACATGTACACTTATCAGGGCACTGATGATCAGTGTGCCCTGATGGTCAGTGTAGCCCCAGCAGTGCCACCTGTCAGTGCCCATCAGTGTCAGCTCTCAGTGCTCATCCATGCCACCTGCCAGTGCCACATCAATGCCACATATCAGTGCCTACCAGTGCACATCAATGCCACATATCAGTGCCCAACAGAGCTGCCTTTCAGTGTCACCCATCAGTGCCAGTCAGTGCCACCTATCAATGCCAATCAGTGCCACCTATCAGTGCTGCCAATCAGTGCCACCGATCAGTGTCAGTCAGTGCCGCCTATCAGTGTGCATCAGTCCCACATATCAGTGCCCGTCAGTGCTGCCTATCAGTGCCGCCTAACAGTGCCAGTCAGTGCCGCCTATCAGTTCCAGGCAGTGCCACCTATCAGTGCCACCTATCAATGCCATATATCAGTGCTGCCTTTCAGTGCCCATCAGTGTTGTCTGTCAATGCCCATCAGTGCCACCTATCAGTGCCAGTCAGTGCTGCCTTTCAGTGCCCATCAGTGATGTCTGTCAATGCCCATCAGTGCCACCTACCAGTGCCTCCTCATCAGTGCCCATCAGTGCCACCTATCAGTGTCCATCAGTGCAGCCTATCAGTGTCCATCACTGCAGCCTCATTAGTGCACATCAGTGAAGGAGAAAAATCACTTATTTACAAAATTTTATAACAAAAACTAAGAAAAAACTTTGTTTTTTTTCTTTAAAATTTTCAGTGGTTTTTGGTTTAAGAAAAAATGAGAAACACAGAGGTGATTAAACACCACTAAAATAAAGCTCTATCTGTCACAAAAAAATGATAAAATATTCATATGGGTACAGTGTTGCATGACTGCGCAATTGTCATTCAAAGTGCAACAGTGCTGAAAATTGGCCTGAGCAGGAAGGGGGTATAAGTGCCCTGTAACTTAGTGGTTAAAGTGGTTATCTAAACCCATACACTTAAACCAAATATCTTGTTGTATATGTTCCTGAGATGTCAAAAAAATGTAACCCTTTATTTTCCGATTTTCAATTAAAGCTAATCTCAAGGCGGTATTTGTATTGCTTACTTACATTGGTCCATGCTGGCATATCCTTATCCTATACCAGATGAGCCAGTGAGAAGCCAAATATCACTGTAGTAGTTGATGCTACTACAATAACAGTTGCAATCTTCTGAGTCATCTTTGGGTACTGTGCGATCGGCTTACCCTCAGCACACTGACAACAGGAGGGTGGCACTGCCACCATTTTTTAGAACATCTTTGATTGGGTGAGATGCAGAGGAGGGAGCAGTGATGTCAAGATCTCCAATTTGTCCAATCAGAGCATGCCCTTTATGAATGTATGCAGTGGAGAACCCCCCACTATTCACACTGACCCTCTGTGTTCAGTGTGTTTCTTCTCCTAGATTGACAATACTTACTGAGTTTCTGCTGCAACGCTGTCATCAATTTTCTGTGTGTACCCGATTTGGACTGCACATTGCGTTGGTACTTTTTACCATAGTCAATGTAGTAAAATTACAACAATCAGTCACTGTAGGAGGGGACACATGTCCACAGGATATTCATACAACGAGCAGGGGCGGACTGACCATTTGGAAACTCGGGCACTGCCCGAGGTCAGTAGGGGGCCCCATGAGATGCCCCTGGTACCTTTTTCATAGGATTTTTTTAGTTTGAGCAAGGACACAGGGGCCCCATGATCCCCTATTGCCCGGGGGCCCCATTAGTTGTCAGTCTGCCCCTGACAATGAGTCTACAGTATGTGTCCAGTGCAGGGAGAGAAAACATGAACAAAGGAGAAAACGATTTTTAACAAAAAAAAAAATGATGCAATTATTTTTTGTAACTTACATTACTCTACACAACAAAGCAGTGAGAGTTCCGTTTTATATAATAATACAGCGGTGTTTTCTGAAGGTTCTAAGCACAAACAATGTAATAATTCAGTTTAAAGCCATACAACATGCATTTCTATTTACTATAGCTTCCTAATATTATTATAACAAAACACATAAGTAAATAGTTCTAATTTTCCACTGGACACACAAAATAAACATGCATCAGCACTTGTTCTTGTATATTGCAGCCCATCATTTTCAAACTCACACAATTTTCTGTGCATGATCATTCAGTCAAATATTAAACATGACATGCTACCCCGAAATTACAGAGCAGGATATCATTTGGTAATCACACTGCGATGGACTAAGCCCGTCTAGACATCTAAGTTCATCTAAATCATTTAAGTGATTTCATTCATGTGTCTGGGAGAGGCACCAGGAAATTCTGAGGACACATGTCACCATGTCAGTGTACAGCTGAGGTCCATTTGTTAAGACCCTTTAAGTCCAATACTTGTTGTGTTTCCTGTTTCACAGCTACAAAGAAAAAGCACATTCAGGCTGGACAGTTCATTAATCACTACTAGCCTATGTTCCTTTTACAGTACAAATGGCCATCTCTCACAGATCTTAACAAACCCCCCATTATTGCCTGGAAGGAATTCATACAATCTTGGAAAAGCTACAGTAGCTGTATCCAAGCTTAGCAAAGAGGACCAAGCTTGCCCTGAAGTGGAATGATTTTTAATTTAAACTACAGTGCTTCTTATGATTGCACTCGGGTGATCGGAGAATATGCCACCTCTTACTTGTAGGCAATGTTAGACTGCTGTATACAAGGGCCACCAATTAAATAAATTAAGTCCCTACTGGAAGCTCATCGATAACATATTCTTTACAACCTAGCTATTGTAAGCCCAATGAGTACGATCATTCTCATCACTGATTTATACGTTTGATTGTATTGTTCTGTTAAAGAACAACACAATCATTTCTTTCTGTATATTATTTATATATCATATATGCTACTTGTCTCAAGCATACAATAAAGAGGCTACTTAGTTAACAATACCCAATAGAGAACAGTCAGGCTAACGCTGATTACAAGAATTGGCCAAAATAGACTTACTTGAAACATATTCTGACCATAACTTGCTAACCACTTTGTTAAAGTGACACCTCATCGATACAGATGTGGGGTGCTCATTCACGCCAGATGCGGTCAGGTGCATTTTTCAATTCACACCTTAAAGTATATGTAAACCCTCAACTTGTAAAAGAACCCATTCAGTGTAAAATAGAAATAAAAGGTAAAACATTTGTGTGTGGACATAAAAACCATTATAACTACTTTTTTTGCCTTTGTTTTTCCCTCTAAGCTCCTTATGCAGCTGAGAGCAGAGAGCTGGGGAGGAGAAACAGCATTACACTTAACTTCCTAGTGAATGGCTGTGTGTGGGAAGGAGGGGGGGGGTGTGAGCAGAAATCTGATCATTGTAGAGCACATTAGAACTAGAGAACTGACCACAGTGCACTCTTCTGCCTAGTGTAGTCAGTCTTTAATAAAAAAAAAAAATCAGAAGGACTGGCAGGAACACCAGGGATTTCACAGAAGCAATACAAAGAGAGCGGGATACTTTTTCATACAAGTACATGGTAGTGCAGGCACATATCAGGAATATAAAATGTTGGGTTTACATATGCTTTAGGAGATTTATTGTCATTCTACAATCCCAAGATCATACAAAAGAATATAATCACAGCTCTACACGTAGCAAAGCATTCTATAAAAAGAAACAATGTATTCCAGTGAGCCTAGTTCATACCACTGTGTCGCATTGTAATGTGCTTAAAAGAAATGTAGCATCATGGACTTTTTTGTTAAACACATTCATGTGAATAAATGCAATGCAAAGTGATTCTGGAATAAAATGAAAATGAAATGGATGCAAAATAAATTTGTAAAAATGCATTATCTTAAAGTGATATTAAAGCCTTTGTTATTTCTAATGCTGTGTTAGGTACAGTGTTTGCAGTGTCTTTATTTAATAACTGGCCCTTTGCCCCACAATTTGCTGGTCAGTTCAGTGTTTCCCACCATCCATATTCAGGGAGTCTCCTTTTCTTTGCAGAGACCTAGAGAGCCACCCTTGGGTGTGATCCCAGCCAGGACCAGAGCGGCTGCTGTGTGCATCCACTTAAACACACAGCCCTTAAGTAAGCCACTCCCCTGCCCCCTCCCCCCTTTAAAGTGTTACTAAACCCACAACAGTAAAGTCAATCTGTATATGCAGTAAAGCATGTTTGTTATACTCATTGTGGAACTTAAAGGGTTAACCCTCTACATTGTGTAAAAAGAATGTTTAATCCTGTCTTTTCTGATTTTCCACAGTTCCTGAATCATCTCCTGAAAGAACAGAGCCTTGGGGGCTAGCTGCACATGCTCAGTTTGGTGTGTATTGCTAGAGAGTGTTTTTTTTTTTTTTTTGTTTGGGAGGGTGCATGTGATCAGCACAGGGCAAATCAGCACCGTCCAGACAGAGGGTCAAGGGTCCAGCACTCTCACAGGACAGTGAGAGGAGAATGAAAACTCCTTCTACAAGCTTTAACCAGTGCTCTGCTGGGCACTGACAGAAGTCACAAAACTGCTCTAACTGCTGATGAGAAAATGTATTTAGCAGTTTATATTTACTAAAATAATTGCATTTCCATGTTGTGTGTACTGTGGGAGACTAGGTATAGTGAATGCAGAGTCCTGGGTTTAGTAACACTTTAACCTCCTCTCTGTGCCTGACCTGTTCTGGTTGATCAATGCATGTGAGAAACTCGGGGCTAATGTGCAACACTTCACAGAAGTGAACCCCATATTTAATTAACCACACACTAGGGAATATGGAACAGGTTACTATAAAAAACTAAAATGTCAGAATTCCAGGCTAAACCCAACAAGTAAACCCAACATTTCACATTCCTGACATGTGAATGCTGTACCATGTACCTGTATGAAAAAGTATCCTGTTCACTTTGTATTGCTTGCTTTGTGTGAAATCCCTGGTGGACCTGTCAGTCCCCCTACTTGCCTATTAAATCTGACCACACTAGTCCTCATGAGAGCACAGTGCAGTCAGTTCTTTAGCTGTGCTGGGAACTCAGTCTGCTCTCATCCAATGATCAGACTTTTCCTGACACGCCCCCCTGCAGAGCTATTCACTGGAAAGGCCTTCCTTGCCCTATGACAGGGGTGTCCAAACTTTTTTCAAAGAGGGCCAGATTGGATGAAGTGAACATGGTGGAGGGCCGAACATTTTTCCAAACATTCTTTGAACCATTACAATTAAATGCAAATAAATTATTTTATGCCAAGTTACCGTATTTTTCGCCGTATAAGACGCACCTGACCATAAGACGCACCTAGGTTTTAGAGGCAGAAAACAGGAAAAAAAAAATTCTGAACTAATGGACTGCAGACACAGTACAGGAGATGACAGAGACTGCAGACAGCACAGGGATGACCAGAGACTGCGGCACAGGGATGACAGAGACAGCGGACAGTACAGGGATGACCAGAGACTGCGGACAGCACAGGGATGACCAGAGACTGCGGACAGCACAGGGATGACCAGAGACTGCGGACAGCACAGGGATGACCAGAGACTGCGGACAGCACAGGGATGACCAGAGACT